CATAAAACATTTCTGCTTGTGTGAATTATACTCTTCACCTTACAGCTGCCTGTGGGCGAGAGTTAAACAAGCTGATAAAATCACAAGATGCAGGAACACACGAGTTCCTCACAGCTGAGAAGACAAGTCTGATACTGTGCTTGCCTGCCATCTAGTGTTTGGATACAAGCACAGCTTTATATACACGTCTGGGTTTGGCTGCTCGTCTTCTATTGTAGCCGATTTCAGCGATGTAGTCGTAATGGAGCAAACATCAGTCTTTGATGTAGATCTTCTGAAAGCATGGGCTGAAATGTTATTTGTTAAATTCCTTATCTTGACAAAGGTTTCCTATAAAGTCACTAACAACACGAAAAGCAACCAACAGGTTGTACTCACACATTAGCTGAAGTTTTCCTGCTTATATTTTTTTTCCTCTGCGCTATAAAATACATTTTAAAAAGTCTTCTTGATCGAAATAACAATAATCGCAGTGAACGGCGTGTACTGAACGGCCCAGAATGCAACGGGGCGTTCAGTTCCTTCTTTTATTTAAATTAATTAAAATAAAATTAAAAACAATCTAAACACATTTGTGAATTATGTTTCCCTCTGGGATAGCTCAAATTCTAACCCTCCCAAAATACTCGTTAAAGCAACAAACCGTGATAAGGATTCCACGCGTCTTTTTGACCCTAGTTATACCTGGTGTGCAGCGCGTGCTAATCCGTGGGAGGAAGCTCATTGAAGAGGTCACGTGCCGAGTGCTTGTCACTCCACCAATCACCTTGGGGAAGGTCTGAGAGAAGAGCCAATCGTTGCCCTTGCAGGGCATCACCTGAATCCGGGTGAGCGAGTGAACAGAAAGCATGGGTCAATGAGAGCAGGTGTAGCAGGAGAAGCCGGTTGGCAGGTGGATGCATCTCTCTGATGACTTGGAAGCGCTCGCGGCTGGCGATTGAGTGCGATGAATGAGTTGGGGCAGATCTCCACAACCGAATTCAGACTACTCTCCCCCCACGTTTTGCACAAATATTAAACCATCAAGGATCATGTGACTGGAGGGTCATTTATGTCCTCTTGATGACAGTAGACTTTTCTGGACTGTGGCACACGCATAAGACAACATTGTGAATGCAAATCATAAATCTGCATCTCACATGAAATGCTTGTAGGAAATATTCATATTCAAAATATTCACATCTCTCTGTGAGAGAGGGCAATGTAAACACAAGGTTAAAAGGAAATGCTTCTGGATTTAGACACTGAAAGCATCTGTTTCCTCATGTATGTTAATGATGAATGTTAATGTTTCTTAATACGCTTGTTTGGTCTTGCATTGGCCTATATTCACATGCAGTTTGTGCATATGACATTGGTGAGACACAAGAAGTGCCAAGAACCTGTTTTTTTATGACATACTGCTTTACATGTGCAAGTTATCATACAAAAATAATGCATTTTCAGTGGAACACTTGAGGTGCACAGTGCACAACGCTGAAAAATACTGGCATTGTAATTTAGGTGTCTTTACGGATGATGCACCTGTATGTAAAGTGTTTACTGTGGATCTTTATTTAATACTGCTTTTTTGTTTAACATGTAACCACTTAACTAAACTTTCAGAAAACAACTCCGTGATCATATTGTGTCCTACTGTCCTTGGTGCACAGCTTCAGTTTGGCCCCCAAACAAAACCAGTTCATGTTTCTGCCCCACTTTTTAGCCTTATTGGAACACGAAGTGTTGCCCGCACGATCTTGAAACACAGAGCCACAGAGTTTAACCTCGAACATCATCTGATGATGCCACAGTGATCACACATTCACAGAGTGGGTTGAACAGGAGGCAAATGAAATGATGTCTATTGAGTTGGCCTACTCCAAGATGAGTTCTGGATCCTTCTATCTGTGTGACTGACTACAGCAGTTAAGCACAGAACAGCAAACCAGCCCAGCAGCATCTGCTAAATCTCAAAACATCTTTAAGATTCCCATTGTAACCTACAGGTTAACCTGTAAGTATCAAATATTTTAAATTGTTTAACATGCATACTTTCTGATTTTTCTGCGTGCTACTTGAAAGTGTGCAAACCTGTTTTGTTTCTAAATGAAATAGTAGCTTTGTGTGCCAGTTCCATATACTATGGAAGGATTATTGCAAGTAGTCAAAAAATGTAAATATTTATGTAATTAATATTGCTACTTAAGTAAGTTAACCCTGATCTTCACTAATCAGAATATGTACCGTGTAGTATTAAACTGACACAGTAATGTCTGGAGAGAGATATGAATCAGTTTGATTGTTCTCTTCTCTCATACCTCATACAAATAATATGGTCTCAAAAAAGCGGGATGTGTGTCGGCACAGATAATTGGTGAACTGTCCACGACCCAGTTTGCTGTAATTATCTGATGGCTGCAGTATATAACTGTGACCGTCATGTTAAATGTAGAGCGAAAACAGAGTGACAACATCAGGGACCAGGTCGCAAGAATAAAGAAGTTTTAATGTCAGACTGCATGGTGAGTATAAGATGAATCATTTAATAAAGCGTAGTTAATGTATTTTAGGGTGGATTTTATATGGTTTATCATCAGAAAAATGGAAGCTTAATCTAATCAAAGTTAGAAATACATTTACTGTTGAGAGATTTAACCTGTAAGAAAAAGAAGCTGCATTTGGGGGTTTCTCAGATTTTTAGAATTATACACAAAATTGCATATTTTTCATTTAAATTTTATATCTCGGTTATTGTGTAAAGTTGAGTCTTGAATAAAATTAATGAAGTTTGAATTTTTAAATTTATACATGTGCAGTTCTTTAAAATGCCTGCAGATTTAAAGGCCTCTCCTACATGTGTTGGCTGAACGTGTTTATTTACAACATTTAGTGAGGAAAAATCTGAGGGCACATGGCCACCTCTGTTAAGAACAGATGGGAATTATGGGAGCATTAATGGCTTAGCTAAAGAGGCTATACCCTTTTTACCTTACTTGTAGGACACGGGCTGACCCAGCATCAGCCAGGCCAAACCAATATGAGCAGTTACAGCAGAATTCATAAGTAAAATGAGATTATTTCTGATTTTGTCTCCATTTGATTCTATTCGGAACTTTTATACTTTTCTTTAATTGTTTTTAACATAAAGACAGAGGAATCTGTTTCTCTAGTTCCACATTTTATAAACGATTTGTTTGCTCAAACATCATCATCATTAAGTACAACGAGTGAGCGTTCACTCTGCTAAATGAGGAGCTTACAATGTGTTTTACTGACACAAGTTTGAATGCACTTTTAAACGGAGACTGAGTTTGAGGAATATTCTTTGACTCTTTCGCGTCTCACGACCTAAAACGTGTGGAATCAGTCACATGGATCAGTTTTGCCCAGCCATACACGTTTGAGGGTCGGGGCTGGAGTTGCATAACTTGTTGTTTGTGGTTTGCACAGATGTTGTGGCAGCATTTTCAACCTGCAGTGATATTGACACGATTATTGGAATAATGATGTATACCAAAGTCTACTGGGGCACTCAGGGTGGATTAAGGTTTCCATAAAAGCGGATGGGCATCCTTTATAGTTTCAGATACTTCCAGGGGAACAGGAGGGAACCAAACTCGTCTCATCATAACAGATTCTGCAATGAACTGACACTTCTGTAGTTCCAAGATATCACTAAGGTCATATGTCACAGTTTGTTTTTTTCTCTTCAGTTTAGGTTTGCGTGAAACTAAGCAAACGTTGCATTGATAGCGTTCTGATTGCATCTGTTTATTCTGTTTTCTTGCATGTATCTTTAATTGTCCGTACATTCGTGTGTGTTTACAGATTTAGCATGCCTCTGTTTGCATTGAAATCCTTGCTGTTGTGTGTGCTGATGGTTGGTGCGGTGTATACCTGTATGCTGAAGAATTACACTTTATGGATTGAGAAGCAAGACTGCACCCAGTGCGTGGCCATCAACACTACCATCTGCAGTGGCTATTGTTACACCCAGGTGACAACTTCTGCACACAGTTACACTTTTCATGGAAACTCAATGATGTAAAGGTTAAGCAAACTGTATGATGGACATTTTGAGAATATTTGAGACAACAATAAATGTGATGAAGGTAATGATGACATATCAAACTGTAACACATTCTGCGGATTTTTCACATATTAATCATATAAAAATCTTAATGGCACCTTGTTCCGTTCTCATTGAATATTGTCGTCATCAGCCTTGTTTCCTCATTTCCAGGACACTAATTTGAGGGGACGATTTGGGAGGACTTTCTTGATCCAGCGTAGCTGTGTTCCTCTATCCTTGGTGTACCGGGCTGCCCATATTCCTGGTTGTCCCAAGGATGTCAACCCACAGCTGTATTATCCCGCAGCCCACTGCTGCAGCTGTAGGCGCTGTGACACACGCACACACCGTTGCGTCCGGACCAGCCGTATCCCTTATGATCAGTGCTTCACGACACTTGACAGTGTGAAGAAACAGAACCAGTCTGCTGTGGAGATCTCACAATACTCCAATACAAGCAGCAGCGCGCTTGCACGGAAGTGATTCAGCTATTAATGAAAATGACTACGTGTTTGTGTGTGTTGATGTTATTGTAGTGCATCTCATGTTCTGTTCTCTAGTTTATTATGATATTGCAATAAAACAGTCTGTTCATGCAATACAGTTGTGATTTTTTTTGTCTTTTATGACTAAAAGTGTGAAATTACAATAAATACATTGAAATAAACAAATAAAAAATAAATTAAATAAAAAAAAAAAAGGCTAATTTGGTTACTGCTTAGCTTAGGGGGTTGGGTGGCGATAATAATAAACTGGACCATGAACAGACCCAGTACAATACCTAACAATAGCAAGAATGATGGTTCCAGGAAATGGGTTCCTGCTGTGAGCCAGCAGGAACCATATCAGAGATATCAGGATTACTCGGCTGATGTCTGAGAGAAACGGTTATAAATGTTGCGTCATGGTCTGTTTGTCCCGCCCAGTTTTTAGAGAATCAATTTTTATTGGTTCCCAAGTCAGGTCTGAGGCGCACCTAGCTGTAGCTTGTCTCCTTCCTCTTTCTACTCATTCATTAATTTATTAACCAAGACGATGGTGGATATGAAGCAGCGTTAAAGTCTTTATTTTAAGGCGTGCTGTCCCAGCTCTTTTCCGTAAGTAACCACGATTCTTTCGAATACAGCTCCGATGTTTTACTATGTCTTTCACATCTAAATAAATTTAACAACCCGGGAAAAAGTTGCAGGACGGGTTAAAAAAACAACCAAAAAGCAAAAAACTGTAAAGCTTTTGTAATTAGGCAGAGCAGATGTAGTTAACTTTCTAACTCAGATCACAGGTTATTATGAGACGCAGTAGCTGTTTGTTTTTTAATTTATGATTTTATCCATTGTATGAGTGTATGTTTGCAATCAAGACGCCTCGAGACAAGAGCTGGATTCATCTGAAATGACACACTGCAGATGGGTGTATGCCTGCCTTGATTTGGATATTAGGATTGTGCTTTGATGTTGGTGGGTAACTGACCCTGATTTTAACTTGGCTGGTAATGCAGTGGGTGGAGAGTCAAATTTATCCTTGTCTCTGCAGGGCCGGACTTTCCTCTATATATATCACCTTGAGCTTATTTCTGCTCTTGCCTTGCTCAGTGTCTCTCAGGGACTCTCAGCCTGCTCTCCCTCTGTGCTAAAACAACTTCTGCACTCACCAAATTCAAGAACCATGGCCCAGCAACAACAGATAAGGTACGGACCTGTGCACCAAGTTAGATGAGATAATAGGAACGAGGCATGTTCTAATTGTTTTTTTGTCAATCCAATAGTTTTATACAATAAACACAGAATTTGCCACCTGTCTTTTGCTCTTGTGCCGATGTGTAGCACTTTATTACAGTTATATGTGAGTTGTTTGCTTTACTTTGTCAACAAGTTATTTTCTATAGCTTCTACAAAGAGATACACTAGTATGGGTCACACACCAAGAAGCATAATGAGTTGCTTTCATATTACTTCAGCTTAGTTTGAGCAGGTTTTCTCGCCTCGCCTGTCAACGCCCTTCTTTGTGTAACTGCAGAAATGGTGGGAAAAAGAATGATTGTTATGTCCTTGTCTGTTGCGACTTGCCTTTGTACAGTCTACCAGCCAAACTGATCAATGGAGGGATTGCAGGCATGGTAGGAGTCACCTGTGTGTTCCCAATCGACTTGGCCAAGACGCGCTTGCAGAACCAGCGCAGTGGGCAGCAAATCTACAAGAACATGTGAGACCGGCACCTGCAAATGAAAACTCACTGATAGTTTGCGACAACACTAGTATAGTTTGTATCTTCATAATCCAGTGCTTCTTCTTCTTAAAAATGCGTGTGAATACATTATTGTTTCTACTATGCAAGTTCCTGTTCTTGTTGCTGTGTCATCATTATGTTTCAGTGACACTTATGTTGTAATGACACCATTCTGCTACACTGAATGATAACAACCTTCACTGTGAATCTCATGTTTCTCACCAGGATGGACTGCCTAGTGAAGACAGTTAAATCTGAGGGCTACTTTGGCATGTACAGAGGTAATACTTGCCCATACTTGCAGTTTTTACAAGTGATTGTTTGCCCCAAAGTCCTTTATCTAGTTTTGCAAGAACTGCCATCACCTACATTGGCAGATATATGTAAAAGCAAAGAGATCTATGACACATTTTAATTGCCTGACCTTATTTGAAATTGGTGGAACCAATACAACCAGACTGGGTAATTTAATAAGACGCACAGATGCTGAGTCACATTCAGTGTTGGATCAAAGCCTGAGTAAACTGGCCCATTAATGGTTTGGTGCAAGGCAGCGAAAAATGCAGTCAGTTGTGTCACAGTAGCTTAGTGGCAGGCTATTTTGTTCTGTTGCTAAACATTTCCGTTTTGCTTTGCACATTCCTACAGTCAGGATAGTTTCTATACTCTTGTTTTCCTGCACTGGAAAATGTGCTGTCAGACTGATGAGTTAATATGTTTCAGCAAGTCTGCACCTTTGCTTCATTAGGAGGAAGTTTGTCACAAGCAGGTTTGTTGTTGCAGGTGCTGCAGTAAATCTAACCCTGGTAACCCCAGAGAAAGCCATCAAACTAGCTGCTAATGATTTCTTTCGCCACATGTTGAGCAAAGATGGGTGAGTAGCACTTAAGAACATATTAACATCCAGTGTCATTCTTATTTATTTATTTTTTATCTAATCGACGTGTTTGGGTCCTTAGTGGTAAGTTGACAGTGTTCAAGGAGATGTTGGCGGGATGCTGTGCGGGGATGTGCCAGGTCATTGTCACCACACCCATGGAGATGCTCAAGATCCAGCTGCAGGATGCAGGCAGGATAGGTAAAACCATCTACATCTGCAAATCATTTGCAAAAACCCCCAAACAAAACTGGTGTTTGGGGGTGTTTCAGCTCTAAAATACTTAGATTTCCTGTTTCTGCCAGCTGCCCAGCAGAGAGTGATGCCCGCTGTTGTAACAACTCTGAAGATGGGCAGGGCCAGCGCAGTTCTTAGCCGTTCCTATAACACCGTCCCTGGGCCTCAAGCCATGCGAACTTCTGCCATACAGATCACCAGAGAGCTGCTGAGGACCAAGGGTGTTACAGGACTATACAGGGGTCTTGGGGCCACATTGATGAGGTGAGATGTGCAAATGTATTGCCATATCACATGTTTAATCAACCAGTTTTACATCTTTCTGTCTATCAATCCAAACATGTTTGTATTTTATCTTTTCAGGGACATCCCGTTCTCTGTTGTGTACTTTCCTCTTTTTGCACATGTGCACCAGCTTGGCCAGCATTCATCTGACGACCCATCCGTCCCTTTCTATTGGTCCTTTTTGTCTGGCTGCTTGGCTGGATCCATCGCCGCTGTGGCTGTCAGTCCTTGTGATGGTGAGAGACTCATTTGGTGCACTACGAAGTAAAGTGACATTTTAAAGAAGAACATCATTTTATTATTTGCATAATTTATAATTTTCTGTCTCATGCAGTTGTCAAAACAAGGCTCCAGTCACTCAGAAAAGGAACTAATGAAGAAACGTACAGTGGCGTGGTGGACTGTATCAGGTGAACATAGCTTAAATCATAGCTTTGGATTCTCAGCATCACCAACAAACATTCTGCTTGGCTTGGCCTCGATAGCATAAATCAAAGACTAATTCTGGGCTTGTCTTGTTAATTGCAGGAAGATCCTGAGAAAAGAGGGTCCTGGAGCTTTCCTCAAGGGAGCTACTTGCCGGGCCCTTGTCATAGCCCCGCTCTTTGGCATTGCACAGGTTGTGTACTTTGTGGGTGTTGGAGAGTTCCTGCTGGGGTACACACCCTACAACATCTGCTCTGCATAAAAAAAAAAAAAAGCTGTTTCCAACCTTTGCTGGTTTATTAAATTACAGCAGCTATGCCCCGAGTGTAGCAATGGATCCAGCTCTTTGTGTACCTTCTTTATTGTTGGAGGTTTCGAGTAAAATGCTAAATGGATCATAGATATGCCATTCATTTTAAAATGGTCTAAAAATATGACTTTAGCATGAAGATCTCTTTTTTTAAGAGACTGAGGTTGAAGTTTACCAGTCTGTGCTTCACTGGATCTTTCTGGGAGACAGAGCTTTCCTCACCTGCCCAGAGCTCTGCTTCAGGGGCACCAGACTATTCACTGCTTTCTCAGCTTTACTCCATCACCTGCCTTTCATTGCAACCCTAATCTGGTTTTCCATCTAACTGCTCTATCTTGGCAACTATGAGGTGATGGTATTTAATGTTATGAAGAGACATAACTGTGCCAATTAGCATAAAACAATAGTGGTAGAACATTTTTACTTCACTTCCGTCCTGTTTTAAGAGGATAAATAAAAAAGGGGCATAACCTCGTCCCAAATTCTGTCAGCTAGGGATGATGGTTTAGAAAAGATGAAGAAGAAACGTTTGGTCAAGAGGTCTCCTGTTCCCCGTTCTCGCACCACATACACAACTGTGATTGATCTAAAGTGAATTTTAGTTTTGAGCGCGCACTGTGAGTCTCTTCTACACAACTCTGTGTATTTTTTGTTTGTGTTTTTTAACTCTGCAAATAAAGCCCAACAAGGCCACCTGCAGCTGACTTTAGAGAACCACATTTTTGTGGTAAAGGAAATGTTGTTTAATGGTAAAGACTTTATTGATGGATTCATTTGGCATTTGGGACCAAACGTGGAAGAAAAAAGGTGCTACATGACCTACATGTAGCCATGTTCTCTTAGTCTGTTGTGGTTGTCTGTCTGATTTCTAGCTGTCAGAGATGCAGGAGCACACACACAATGACATGTTAGGCATTCAGAGGCAGTAAACAGTGTAATGATAGATTCTCTGCCTGCTCGACCTTTTCATGGGTTAAAGTCATTTAAACTGTTCTACCAATGTAAATATGCAGGTTTTTCTTCAGTTTTCTCAAACTGTGCAAAGTGGCGCTAAATTAGAGCAGTTTTTTGTAAATACATAAATGCTGAATAAATGTCTGTAAATGCAGCGTTTATTTCTGTTGTTTGTGTTGAGTGTGTGTGGCTCGAAGTGTTGAATGTTATAGTCTGTAATCACTCGCTGATGGGAAACAGGCAGCAAATTAACTTCAGATGATTTAATATTTTGTTTTTATGTAGGCCTGAAAGGTGTTACCCTGCTCCTTTACACATGCACCACAAGCGTGGTTCAGATTTTGGCAGTAAAAGTGCTCGTGCTGCAGTGCTGAGGTAATTTCACCCCGGGCAGTCCTTGAGCCAGCTGGATTGCACACATAACTATACCTTTAACTTAATATCCAGCTGTCCTTACAGATCAAGTGCAGAAATGTGAACCTCTGACATGAAACTCATGCAACTAAATCTGGAAACCTACTTAATCACTGGAGATTTCACTGGTTTTCCTGGGGATCACCATTGCTTCTAAATTGTGCAGTGCTGCATTTAGAAACTACTAAATTATTTGCATTTTATTTTCTAAAGGAGCTTTGCTGTGTCAGCACTTCTCATGATGTGAGGTAAAAATATCGCTACATTTAGAGCGCATCCAGGAAAATGCTGCAGATGGATTTCATTAATGGAAATTGCTAGAAGTGTGCCGTGAGCGTGTCACTGACATCCTGCGTGAACGTGTGGACCGATCCCAAGATATTAAACAACAATCTCACACACTTTAAATCTGTGTATGTGCAAAAAGAAACGTCAATGCTTTCAGAGTTTATATATAAACTTGTATCTGCTTTAATCATCCACATACAATTGTAAATCTACTACCACTGAACACTTTTCCAAAAGGAAATGGCCAATAAAGACCAGCATGTCCTCCCTGTGTGCACTTGTGCAAATGTCTGTGATGCAATAATGGAAGGACAGACACGTGAAGCTCTACAAAACCTTCAAAAAGCTTTATTAAACTTCAAACACCTATATTCCTGAGAGGCCTGGAATGGTATCAAAATAAATTAACACACAATCATCTATGAAAGGCTTGACTGTGTACAGAGTTTTTGAGGTGCACAGTGTGTTACATCTCCAGATTTGCTCTAACAAATAGAAATGAGGAAGACAGCAACAGATTGGTGGCTTTGGTAGCAGTAAACTGTGCCTCTGAAGTGACAGTCTGGTGATAGTCCTGTGTTGCTTCAGTCTTCAGAGTAAACACTGCCTCCTGGCACCCTGAAGTGGTTATCAAGTCTCACTTGTTGTCATCGCTTGTGCCACATTACAATGCAATGGAAAAAACAAAGAATAGTAATATTGACCAGCATGTCTGACGCAGCTTGATTGTTGGAACTTAATCAGCATTAAAATGATTGTTTTGAGTCCTCGTTACAGGATTCCTTGGTACCAAAAGCCTTTTGAAATATTTGGCAGGAAAGTCGTTGCTCGCACCACGTCAGCTTCCTTGGCTGAGCTCGAGTTGAACGCAGCACTGTGAAACACGCCATAAAATGGCGAGTCGAGCCCCGTCTGCTACTCGTTGAATACATTTGACAGCTAACTGCAGTCCAAGTCTACAAACGTGCACGCTGTTGCTACATTTATTCACTACGTTCAGCTCACCGACCAGCTTCAAGAAAGGCACATCAATCAGACGCTGTTCGAGCTGTGTGGATACAAACAATCTCGCCACTATTACACTGTACAGCTACTGCCAACATCTGTCTAAACACAGCATGTTAAATAGTAACTATCACATTTAGCACAAACAATGTACAATAGAAAAAGAAACATATTTACATCCTACTGTCCTGCCTGCTGGAAAACGTCCTATAGAATAAGCAATGGCCTGATTTAAGCTGGATAGGTGGAAACAACCCAGGCTGAGTCGTCTATCCTTCCCTCCTACACGCTGAGGTTAATGAACTGAGTCAAATATAGAGACTATTCTACTGCTTCTTTTTGAGGGTGGTGTAATTTTAAGGCACCGAGAGAAAACTGACGCAAGTGAGAAGACATCAGAGGCCTGGCTTAGATGAGCACATTTAACCACCACCTGTGCCTGTTCTCAGCTGACTGGATAGTTTAGCCTGTAAACATGACCGCTGGGTCTGGGTCTTCTATACAGTGTCTGATGGGACGCTTTATTACATAACAGATTATTTTCATTGGACCACACAAGATGCTTTTAAATGAAGTTAATATGTATTCTTTTGGATTTGCAAAAGCACATTTGTGTAACTCTTCAGGTAGCCTTCATGCTCATTCCTGCTCAATAGAGGAATTTGGAGTTTGGTGATCTGCCTAACTCATCAGCACACACCAGCTTGGGAATGTAGTACTTAAATTAGACAACATATTATGCTCGTATATGAACATTATCATGCAAAGTAACCTAGTTCTGCAAAGATATGAGAGTTCTGAGAAATACACTCACTTTCTGTCCATGAGCCACATGACAGGATGAATGCTGCTTTCATATTTGTTAAATAGGAAGTTACATCCAAACTTAATTGTTTGAGAGTAAATACTGAACACATGGAAAAAAAACTGAATCCTTCCAAAGGTAACAAAAAAAGTGCGAACACATTTTTCCTTCTTCTACGAGACGACATGTTGACTGTCTTAAGTTAAGCTAACTGGCTGTAATGTATGTTTACTGGGCCTCAATCTGTTCACTTAACTCTAAAAATAAACCAAATAGGTGGATTTCCCTAAATATGAACGAGTTCTTTAATAAGATCATTGGATTTTGGTCATTTAGTGTAACCTGTGTGGTTTGAGTGGTTCACGGAGTGTCCGCTCACACTGTGATGGGGCATCCCGATGGATGCCTGCCGGATCGAAATACAGCGCGCATGAGTAACGCTCCACACCGATCCAACCAATCAAAACGGTCTCTGAGATGCAGAAATCTTTTTTAAGATCGTGGGCTCACGTAGCACAACATAGCTGTATTTGCGTGTCTGTGTGTGTGTTTCTGTGCGCACAGATAAGCAAACTCAGCAGCTTTCACCTCAGATTGCTTTCTCAGGCTTAAGTTTCCCACAGCCCAGGGGTCAGCGTCAAGGCTGTGTGAAAAAGCTTTCACACTGCTGTGATAGTATGTGGGTTCAAAATTTGTGGCCATTAGGAAAAGCTATTTGACAGGTTGTCTGCTCCGCAATAGAATTTGTACTGCTCCCATTTGATATGTGAAAGTCTTCCCAGAATGCTGTGAAAGGTCGACTGTGGTTGTTTGCTTTGGACTGGAAATAAATAAGCAACAAAACAAACCAAAAGATCATTGCACAAGGGAGGGGATGAGCACTGCAGTGGAAAGGGATTGTTTCGAACATGTTCTACTTCCTGGCTCCCCAGGTGGTTGACAGACAGGAGATGACATTTAATACGAATTGCTGTACAGTCTTTACGGGCTGGATACAGAAGCAGGTCAGAGCAGAGGCCAAGGATCCGTCTTAGATGACCTCCCTGCTGTTGCGAATGGCACAGCAGAGCACCATGCTGAAAATCATCCCAATGATCTGTAGAGCAGCAAACACAAATCATCTTATTATCCGCCATCACGTACGTATGTGCATTCCTGACTTTTCTCTTCTCCCTGCTCACCATGACACCAGCAATTCCTATGCCCACGTATCCGACGATGAAGAGTTTACTGTTGAAGAAGTCTTTGATGCCCGTCTCGCAGTCCTGCAGAGGAGATGTTTTGTAAGGCACCAGACTCATTCATTTGATATCAACCAATTTAATTTCTGCTGATTGTATAGAGCTGCTCGAGGTCTTACCCGGGTGTCTTTTTCAGCATCGGGGCATCGGTTTTCTATAGTTCCACAACAGCTCAGCTTAAAATGGGAGGAAAAATATGAGAAGACAAGGCCTATTATAGGGAGCATTAAAAAAAAGCAATGATTCCTCATATATGTAGTTGATCATAATTGTTTTCTTCTATATGTACCACTTTCTGGTAAGAGAGGATCAAAGTGCCGTTGCTGTTTTCATTGTAGGTTTTTGCGTAGAAGTTCTGGACATCTTCAATTATCTGTGTAAGACAAGAAAAGTGAATTTGGACTATTGGTACTGCTTGCAGTTTTCAAAAACAGTGAAACAATGAACGTACCTTGTCTTTGTTTAAGAATCCAAACACTCCTGCTGCCACCTCAGACCCAAAGATGATCAGCAGACAGGCAAAGAACTGCAAAAAGGGATTAAGCGTTTACTACTCGGAAGTATAAAATGCCAAAAGTGCATTCCAGTTGGAGTTTTGCTTATGATGTGTGTGCATTTTTACTCACTGAACCCAGCAGGCACTGTGATTCTCTAACGGCTCCACAGCAGCCAAAGAAACCGACCAGCATCACCAGACCGCCGGCACCAATAAGTATGTACACACCTGGAGGAACATAAAAGGTTCTTGTTAATATGAACAGGAATGGTATACAAAAGATTTCTTGTGTTCATGTCAACACGCTCAGCTTTCCCCCGCATCTTGTTCCTTTGGTGATTAGGTTATGTTACAGAGTCACCACAAGGGGGCAGCATAGGACTAGGATTGTAATCTGAGTTAGTCGTAGTGCCAAGGAAAACAAACAGAGGCATTATAATTTCTGATTGTACTGTTTGCTGTGTAAATTGGTGCTTGGCCACATCCCTTTTTAAGAGTAGCCCTTCTTGTTGTGCCCTTTAATGGTGTCCTCAGTAAATACCCTTAATAGCAAAAGCCTGACTTAGAGGGAGGTCTGAGTGGATGCTTCATGCCATGCCCCTTGGCTAACCATTCAGTGTCTCATTAGGAAACACACAGTGCATCATGGGCTGGTCTGTAGGGAGGAACTCAACAGATCCGCTCCATGTAATCTCATGCAAGTGGGGTCTGTTGTGAGGCAACAGCTCCACAGAGGGTAGTTTAAGGCAGGGTGCTCTCATGTTATATGGGGTCAGGTCAGAGTGAGACAGAGAGGTCTGGTTTCTCAAAGTGCAATACAGTAACCCTGCAGGTTTTTCTTTAGTTGCCTGTAAAGAGTTTTGACAGCAGGAGGTGTTAAATGTGCTGTCAGTTAAGGATGGCTA